GGACTGGGGGCATGGATGGCTGCGCGTGTTTCAGGGGCTCTAAGCACAGCTCAGTTATAGCAGTGCCAATCGGGTAATTGCACTCATGCCAGCATCAGTGTGGGATATCAAGTCTCGGGTGTTCACAGGGCATTTTTTTGTCCATAAAACATGAAGTTCTCCCACAGGGACCACAAAAACCTCTTTCTAAGTAGGCCATATCCATATTTGCTGCTACTCAAAGAGATGTTGTCAACACAGAAAACATATTGCTCATCTGGAAGAAAATCACCTGCTAAAAACCATAATACTTTGAAGGGATTAGAAGATTAAAGGAGCTTTCCCTCTGTTTTTCATCTCATATGATCCCAAGCCCGCTGAAACCACTGGAAAGATTCCCTCCACTTTCAGTGAACTCAGGATCAGGCCTTTGGGTGCACTTGAGTCCTGAAAAGACTGGCAGAGTCTGCTGTTCTCACTTGTCAATTCCGGGCTGCTCTTCTTCACGGCTGTCTGGTGCTAGCAAGGGCCTGGGCTGGCTGACACAGGCAGCTTGTTCCAACCCCACGTTCCCCTCTCTGTAGACACCACCACCTCTCCAGACAGACACAGTCTGGTGCAAAACCACTGACTTGACAGAGTAGTTGACAGGCTGTAGTTGGTGATACTACTTGTGGTACATGTTTTTTAACAGACTCTCTAAGACACCTTATTTCCATGCATAATGAAGCCTGCTTAAAAGAATATTAATTTTTTTCATTTTGGGTTTACTTAAATTTTTTTCAGCTTGGATTTCTTTAAAAAGAAAGGTTGTGAGGACTGGATATGGATGGTTGTACATACATGAAGCCAGTGTCTGGAACATATTTCAGGTTATGCATGTATTTTATGCTTAACAAAAGTCTCCTATGACAGAAATCTGCTTCTTAAAGGCTTCACTTGTGAACTTATACCGGCAGGTCATACTGCTAATGTGCAATTCCAACACTGCCAGCTACAAGCAAACATGTGAGACAGATGGGCATTTTCCTTACAACGAATGACAGTTGGCTCAAATAACAAACCATCAGCCAATACTGACATCGCTGAAGAGGGAACAAATCTCCCAGAACACAAACTGGCTCTGTTATCAGGCCAGAGAAGTTGGTTTGCAACTTTCTGCTGATGCTTTTTCATCTTCCTCCACTTATGCTTCCAGGTCCCAGCTGATACTACCAGAGGATTTTCCAACTTAAAAATGAGTTTAGCCACAACTGTGCAGCAATGGCTCAGTGCTAGCAGCAGGCTCCCGGCTTTTACTTGTTGCTGTGGTAACTCCTTGCGTAACTCCCTGCCATACGGATTTGGAAGTGTCACTTCACCTCCCCAGGCCTCTTCTCCCCAGCCAGTAGAAAGGGGACACCAAGACCAGCGCTGTGACAGAGCGGTCTGTAGCATGGACTGCATTATCCCCCTCACAGGGCTGCAGTAAGAGCAGCAGCACGGGCACATAGCAAGGCTGTGGTCCCACCATGGTACTGCCCTGGCCCAGTGTCTCATTCCTCCCTCCCATCCCCAGCCACGTGTGGGGTACCACTCCTTCAGCTGGTCCAGCGTAACTGTCTGTGTGGCCTTGATCTAAAATCACTCCTGAAATGATCTGGGTTTAAAAAAATCTCCTCCCTCATGTATTCCCAGCCAGATCATTTAATTGATGTTTATTCTGAGTTAAGTATGAACAGTTCAGC